AAGCTCTGACCAAATTTGTTCACAATTAAAAACAAAGCGCGCGCGACGCCCACGCGGCTTGAGCGCGTTTGCGTTTGCGTTTGCGTTTTTTGCCGCTCGCCGTCACTCGATGTTTTAAGCCGACCAAAAATGGACAGCGAGCGTCGAAAAAGTCGCCAGCTCTGGCTCGGCTCTAAGACGCATTAACAATTGGCACATTTAACGGAAATTATTGATGTCAATTTGCAAATTGGAAAGTGCTCTCGACGAAAAGCAGTCGGCAGTCAGCAGCCATACAGTCCGAGCCCGGAATATCATAATCACCGGACAATGGAAGCGTATTCGAATCCACTGAAGTGGGCTTCGAAATCAAATTTCTGATTTCTGATTTATTCAGACTCATTCAGAGTTGGCCGATAGGAATGAGTTATGAACAAAAGCCATGAATGAAAAGACACTTTGCCGTCTATGGTTCTCTTCGAGATCGCGATACATGAATGAATCATGGGCGAGAAACAGTTCCCGATGTGGGATGGATGGCAGCACTATATGTGATGTCTACCAGTGGCAGTACCGTTGGGGGTCCTCCGGAGGGATTCTTTCGCAGAGCATGGTCTATGACCCCTTGGAGAGTGCCCTTTTTAATTCGTACCCCAGGGCCAGGTCCTCCATAGACCATTGCCCTGCTCTAGCAGTCGAGAACTGATGGCCTGGAGCACTCCTCCTTGCAGGGAGGAGTCGCCGTGCCCTGTTTCAGCAACAAAACTACACCAAGTTTTTGCCAGTGTACGAGTGTCTCTTGTCTTGTTAGTCACCTTTCAAACACTTGGTCACAAAAAAGGCCAGAAACTCAAATAAAAGAAACTATTAGTTAGCCTGACGCAAATGTGGACGAAAATGGAAACATTCGCGGGGTGGGGGCTGCCAATGGAGAGGGAGATGGGGAATGCAGATCGAGGATGCGGCTGGGGCTGGGGCTGGGGCTGATGTGACGTGATGTGATGGGCTGTGATGACTCCATTTTGTACTCCACTTCCCTGCACTCTACTCCCGGTTCATTGCACTCGCCTCCTCTCTGTCTGCACTCGTCTACGCTCTCCCTCTTTCGCCGCAACGTGCTAAAAGCATCCATCCAGCCCCAGCCCTAGCCCCAACAACACTTGGAGGCAACTTGGATGCACTTTGGGCCCAGACCATCAAAGGCAGCAGCGAGCAGAAAACGTCGAAGATGCAAGCAGAGGAAGTGGAAATTCTTGGGGCCGTTTTCGAAAAATGCAACTTGCGAAATATTATTGTAGTGCCTCGACGAGGGGCGGGAAAGGCGGAAGGTGGTACGGAAGGGGGGAGGAAAGCTTACCTGAACTGTTTTGGCCCCTGTGCGTTCTAAGTGAGTTCGCGCCAGACTACCTGGGATCCATCACTGAAACAGGGAGCTATGGAAGGGGAGAGCCCGAAAGCAAAGCACTTGAAAACAAAACCTTCAGACTCATTAGACGCATTTGGCCGCTTTTGGCTAACCGGCTAACCTTTTGGCCAGAACAAACAGCACCCGCATGGCAATTTAGCAATTTACACCTCGTTAGAATTATAGAATTCGACTGGCGACTGGCAAAGCGCGACTGGCAATTGCAAATTAGCTCATAAATGCGGGTGACATTGTTCGACATCCCATTAGAGTCGGAATGGGAATCGGATTCGGAATCGGAATCAGCATTCGAATTAGCCCGGTCAGTGCGGGGGAGTATACACATGCTTCAGGTTATTGTTCAGCTCCCAATGCGATTTGCATTCGACCTTTGTTTCACAATTCTGTTCAGAGATTGAGATGCCTTTGGCTTCGCCCCAGTTGTGGGTAGTCCGAAATGGTGTTCTGATTTGCGTAATCACATAAACTAGCCAGAAAACTAAACCAACACGCTCCATTGGGGAATGCGTAAACAAGCAGCCAAGAAACTAGCTGCAGGAAACTGGGAAACCAGACCACCAGCAACCTGGTCTGGGAAAGCGAAAAGCATAATGCGGGCCGCTCCCCACTCCCTCTATGGCTGGTGGCTGGTGGATCCAATTGGGCAAGTAAACAGAAAGCCAGCAGACGGGCCAGGTCGCAGAGCACTCTTGAGTCTGAAGCGTAGTATTTGCACATCTCCGAGTGATTTGTTTGGCTGGCAGGACCTGCATATGGAAGGGAGGGGAAGAGCATCGCAGAAAGCATCGATCTCTTCAGACTGGGCTCTTCTGCCAGTGGATTTCAAACACAAATCACATCTTGTTTACAATCGCGGCGGATCTCTCGTCGCCTGCGAAATCTCCAAATCCAAAACAAACTTTTCGGTTAATGTTGTTGCCTTTTCCAATCTCCTCCCAGTGGTGCGGCAATGACTGGAAAAGGGCAATGTAAATACTGCGCAGCTTCGGAGCTTCGGCTGGGAGTAAGCCCCTCGAAGCCCGGGCCCAGAGAAGTCTATTATCTTGACACGTGCACGCGCCGCGTTTTGTGCGCGTTTTAAAACGCCACCTTATTTGGCTCTTTGTTTCAGAGTTTCGAGAGTTCTCAGTGTCTCCAGTCTGTCGTCTTTGGTGGATCATGAGCTGCCTCGTGTGCGTCAGCGATTAGTGGGTAATAGGCTGGGAGTGGGGCTCCTGGGGGTCTGGGGCCTGGAGGAGGGGCGTCTAATACGCCATGTATGTAGATGCGATCGATTGACGATCATTTGATGCGATCAGGCCAAAAAGCAGCAGAAAAAGCGGCCAAAGCTGACCAATTTTAGAAGCTTCGCCAAATCCACTTGAAATCCAACAAAATTCACACTCGCTTTTGGCCAACTCTCCATAAAGCGTTAATTATTTAACATTCTAAAAGCCGAAAAGCGGCAAATGAATTCAAATTGAAGCCAAGTCAAAGTCTGCTTCGGCTGGCTGGTTTTTTCCAGTGCAATTTCGGGTCTTGTCGAGTGGTTTCAGCCAACCGAAAGGGCAGGAGTGCTGCGTGGGCCAGTAGCTCTCCGATTCTCCGACGCCGATCAACCATGAACTCGGCTATGGCTTTTCGATGCCCCACACCCCTCCCTCCCCATCCGATGTGGCGGCTCATCGTGCCGAGTGACCTTTTAGAGTTCATTTAACCGCCCAGAGCTTGACACTTAACGGCCCAAGAATTCCACGCCCACGCAGCTGCCGTCCCTTCACCCCTCCGCCCCTTTTTGGGGCGAGTTGTCATCTTGGAACTGTAAACCAAACACAATCCATCCCAGCTCCGATCCACCATCCACCATCCAGCAGTCATGACTGTCTTGGCTCTTGCTGTCTTACGTAACGGTCAGCCAGGTAGGAGCGCAAAAAACGAGTAAAAAACAGAAACAGAAGCAGAAACAGAAGAGCAGATGGAATTCCAAAATGATAAAATAATACAAAAGGAGGGGGAAAGAGGGCAATAACATTATTACGATCTGAAAAGACCTTGCCCAATTAGGCAGTGTGGTTGTAGTTGCTGTTGTGGTTCGTGATCAGCGATCGAAGACCGTGGATCGGAGAGGGGATAGCGGAGATCGGGGGAGGAGTGCAAAAATCGTAATTTCATTTAAATTTATGGCAACACAAAAGGGTCAGAGGCAGAACGACAGCTCCAATACCCTGGAATCTAGTGGGTTGCGAGGCTAATTGAGTCAATCAGTACATGGATTCAGTGGTGACACCAGACTCCCTCCTGCATCTGGCCATTTAGACCAGGCTCTAAACCATTCTATTCGATGGCGGAGTAACTTTGTATTATGTACGATGCGACACCGCCACATTTCTGATGTCGTGGAAGTGGCTGGTTAACTTGGCCCAAATGCTAAGCACGGTAGCCTCCTCCAGCCACGGCTGTCTACACAGCGAGAAACCAGGAACCAGCAACCGAACCACACACCTCAGACCAAACCAATGTCACTGAGGGGGAGGGGTGGACACAGAGAAAGACAGGAGCAGCCTAGTCCAAGTCAAAGCTTGTCGTTGGCCTCCATCCGCTGTCAATGTCAGAGAGGGAGGAGGGGAGAGGAGGGTTTCCCCAGACGAGTTGCGGGAAGAGGTTGTGGGGGACAATTAGAGAACCAGTCCATTGAAGTCGCGACAGTCGAGCGGAGCTCATTATTGATGGGCAGCCCCCTTCTGGAGTCGGGTTCATTAGCTAAACGACGATCATTGTCCCCAATGGAGAATAAAAGTCCCATCCAGTCTGGCATCTAATCGGATCGATATAGTCTGATTTTAGGAAGAAAGCTATGGCCATGATGGCCAATCGCTTATCGATATTATCGATAATATCGTCAGCGATGTAGTCCCGATCGTATTCAGGGCTAGAGTATCTAAAGGTTGATTCTCAGCACTGGATAGAAGTCCCTTTTAGCCATTCTGATGGCGTCCAAGTGATCGGAATTGCGTGATCGGGGTCTTCATGGAGGAGAACGAGCCGGTAGGGAAGGCAAAGAAGGCGGGTTCCGGAATGGATGGGAGCAGTGGAGGAGCAGCTGGGCAACTATTTTGTATGCCAGCTCTGTCCCCGCTGCTGCTTCTTTTCTCAACCGCTTCTGGCCACCACTCTTGGCTCTCGGCTGTCGGCTGTCGGCTCCTGTACTTTTCGTTGGCAGTAGTGATACCGTGTTTCGGTTGTTGGCTTGTTGCCGGAAGCGCAATTGCTTCATTATGGCACGTACTTTGTCAAAAGGCGTTGAGTTGAGTCACATTTTATTCCATTTGGTGCACTCGAAGAAACTCGAGTGTTGGTTGCAGGAATTTCTGTTTTTGGGACAGCATGAGCATGAGCTGATGGAAAATAGTTGCCAAGATCTGATTTGAATGGGTGTTTAGAGTGTGGTGTTCAGTTCTTCACGTGTGTCTCGGCCAAGAGTGGAACAGCTTTGGAACTCAACTCATTGCTGATACGCACTGTGTGGGCCGTGTGGCTCCACGCCGTCCACATTCCCATCCGCCCTGTCCACATCCAGTCATTCACTAACACAACTTTCCCCCCTTCTCGCTTCCAGGGGCAAATTCGCCGCCGTGCGACGCGCCATTCACAAGAACACGGGCTCCCACTTCGCGGCGAAGTTCCTGAAGCGCCGACGCCGGGCGCAGAGTAGCGACAAGGAGATCAAACACGAGATCGCGGTTCTAATGCTCTGCGCAGGAGAGCACAACATCGTCAACCTCAACGCGGTCCACGAGACGCGCTCGGACACAGCACTGCTCCTGGAGCTGTAAGTCTTTCTTCCGAATCCCGTAACCGGGCTCATTCCATTATTCTCACGACTAATCACGAATTTTCACCTTCAGGGCCACTGGTGGCGAGCTGCAGACGATCCTGGACAACGAGGAGTGCCTGACCGAAGGACAGGCCCGCCACTGCATGCGCGAGGTGCTTAAGGCGCTTAAGTTCCTACACGACCGCTCCATCGCCCACCTGGACCTCAAGCCGCAGAACATCCTGCTCGCCGGCGAGCGCATAGAAGGTAAGATTCAGTGGATTACCAGGTGCAGCAGACTTATCCCTAATTTTCTGTTATTTCGGCAGATGGCCTCAAACTGTGCGACTTTGGGATCTCGCGGGTCGTGTGCGAGGGAATAAATGTGCGGGAAATGGCCGGAACCCCCGACTACGTGGCTCCCGAGGTGCTCCAGTACGAACCCCTCTCCCTTCTGACAGACATCTGGTCGGTGGGAGTGCTCACCTACGTCCTGCTCTCCGGCTTCTCGCCCTTCGGCGGCGACACCAAGCAGGAGACCTTCCTCAACATCTCGCAGTGCGCCCTCACGTTTCCGAACAACCTCTTCGGCGGTGTCTCCCCGGTGGCCATCGACTTTATCCGTCGCGCATTGCGAATTAAGCCAAAGTGAGAATCTTATCGGGTGCATGGGAAGATTAGGATCTTCCCAACCGTTTAACTCCATCTGTTCCAAAATACTAAACTGTTTACCTTTTTCAGCGATCGCATGAGTGCCGCTGGCTGCCTGGAACACGTCTGGCTGAAGGACGACTGCTCCCTGGACAGAACCATATTTCTCCAGTCCCAAAGCGACGCCGAGGAGGAAGACGATGATGTCGAGGACGTGGAGGAGGAGGAGGACGAGGAAGAAGTGCCAGCGGCAGATCCGTTTGACGAGGAAAAGGAGCCGGCAGATCAGGACCCGATAAAGGAGCCACAGACACAGTCACAGCCACAGACCCAGCAACATACTCCTCCCGCTGCCACCCAGACGGTGGGATCGCATTCGCCAAAGCCGAGCATTGCCAGCAAGCCGACGCACAACGGTCACTACCGAGCGAACAGCAGCGGCAGCATCTCCAAGATCCCGATCGCCACCAGCAAGCTACTGAGCAGCCCCAGCTGCGAGACCACCACTGCGATCCACACCTTCGGGAACGGAAGCACTCAGAAGCCCACCCAAATAGTGACGCCTACGCGAAGGGCCTCGGACTCGGACAAGGAGAACACCTTCACAGCCACCTTTGTGAAGAAGCCGGTGGCCACAATCCAGCTGGGCAGCTCCAACGGCATTGAGGACGCTACAGTGGTGGCCGCAACCCTCACACTGTTCCCGGACGCTCCAACTACACCGAAGGTGATCCGCAAGACGCCGACGGGGGAGTCGCACAGGTCGGCCACGTCAGTGAAGGCCTTGGTGAAGAAGTTCCAACTGGAGGACTTTACGGGACTGGCGACAGGAGGCCGCCGGAGCGGAGGAGCCGCGCCAGTTTCGCCCACAACGCCGACGACAACAGCCACACGAATGATTACCATCCGGCGGGCCTCCGAGCCCCTGACTGTGGTGAACAAGAAGCAGCCGTCGCCAACTCTGCACGGAAACCCGAGCCCCAGCCCCGGCAGCAGTCCCACCAGCTCCTCGGGCAGCACGGCCGCCTTGCTGATCCACAGCCAGCGCCTGGGCACCACATCGGCGCTCGCCAGCCACATACCCAGCAATGCCAGCAGCACCACTGCCAAATCTGCACCACCATCCGCATCTGCTCCAGCATCTGTATCTGTCACAGCCACCTCGAACAGCAGTAGTTCAGGAAAAGCGGCAGGCGGCCCTAGCTCTGCGTCTGCCCACCATCTGCACCACCACCACATGCACCATCATCACCACCACCACCACCACGTGGTGATCGCGGCGAAGAACGCAGCCGCCGTGGCCGCTACCAACAACCTGAGTCTGGACCAGGGTATCATCTGTTAGCTAAGGGCCAGCCGGGCGGGCCGCAACGCCAAGAGTTTCTTTCACCGCTTCCTGTGCTGCATGTAACCGACGGCGGAGGGGGAGAGTTTGCCCCCGGGCGCCGTCCACTGGAGAAGTGGGTCACCTAGCTGCAGGATCACTAGGCAGGAGGAAGGTCGGATGGAGGATGAGTGGAGGAGCAGCAGCCGATTGGTGGAGCGAATAAGGAGCGACTGGATCGAGCAGTGGTGCTGCACCAGGAGACGGAGCTGGATGGGGAAGTTGAACTGGAACTGTAACTGGAAAAGGAGCGACCAGGAGGAGGAGGATGCGTTGATTTATATTTGAGGATAGTTAGTTTTAGTTAATGTCGGACGGCTTGGCATCTTCGGCAGCATGGGAGCCACACCCCCGAGGATCCGGGATGTCCCTTACCCACCACACAACACACACACCCACACACCTAGGAGATGAGGAAGAGAAAGCTTAAATCTAGATTGAAATGAAAAATGAAACCTGTAATTGCGGCCGTAATGGCAGAATTGAGAAGATAGGAACCGATCTGAAAGGGTATAGAGTTAAGCTGATTTAGGCGGACTTTCGGTAGACATATCATAAATCCCATATGTTTGTTATGCGAGAAGCAAGAGAAAAAGTCGAGGAAGTGAACAGAACGTAACTGAACAGACGAGCTGAACAGAGCATAGTTTATTGTTTCAACGAATATATATATATATATACATAAAGGAAGAAATGTCAATTCGGCCCAGGACCATTCTGGCGGCCTAGCATTAATTATACTAGTTATACCTTATCTATATGCCTACGTATGTACACTTTTAAACATATTCATAGCATATATTACTATACATGTACCAAAAACGAATGGGGATCTGTCCCAGCGATAGGATGCGAGACGAGGCTGCTTGCATCCGTTCCGCCATTTGCTTGCAGGCATGGAGTGTTCGTTAGTCGTAATCAATCAATCAATCAATCTGTACCCACTCTGTCAGCCAACACCAGTGTATTAGTATCAATCCGAAGGGTCAATCATAAGCATATACATATACAAGTTGTTCGTTCGTTCGTTCGTTCGCCTAGAAGAGTTTAGAGAATGTTAAAGCCAAGCAAAATTGTTAATCGTGTGTCTGTGTGTTCAATCGTTCAATCGTTCAATCGTTGCATAAATGTTAGGATGGCTAGGATACATGCATTGTAGTAGTACTAGTTGTCATCGTTAGAGGTCCTGCTCCCATTCCCAGTCCCAGTCCCAGTCCCATCCCGTCTCCCCAGTTCACCTCATTAAGTCGATTTTGTACATATTTCCAGCACGAACACTATGCAGAGAGCTGCATACTGTGGAGGTCAGAGGTCGGCCAGCTAGCTAGCAGCAGCAGCAGCTATTCAATTATGTTTAATTCTTTTTTTTTTACTCGATTATCAGTAATCGTATTTTAGGGCTTCGATGCGAGTGTATTTATTAGGCAAACGTTTCGAGGAGGGTCAGTTAATTGTTAAAGGAGAAAGCTTAATTTATCGCAATCGATTACCTTTTCTTTTATACTTAATACTTGCGTGTACTTCTCTTAATACTATTATTTTTTTTTAATACACCTAAATCACAGTTACGTGTTTAATATATTTGTACATTAGTAGTTAAATGCAGCGCAGCAAACGTACGAGAACCTGCAACCGTGAAATGAATAAAAATAAAAATAAAAACAAGGTAGTAAGCTGGACGTAAGAATCGAGAAATGTGTTTTAATTTTTAGTTATTCTAATCGATTTTGTGTTTAGAAAATCTAATTCAATGAGAAGACAAAGATGCATATTATATTCTACATTATAAACAAATTATTTTATAGCTAACTAATTTAAAATATATTCAATAAAACGACAAAAATTAAATCTTTCCATTGTATTTTATTAATTTTCTTAAAATTAATCCAACGCCACGATGCCAATGTTTCAACTCTCTGGATTCGATAGTGACGTCACGAGCCGAGCCGCCGACCAAAACGCAAAAGATTTCTTATGAAAAACTACCAGGCGCACCAGGCGCGCAGAAATCAGCAGGAGGTGGATTTTCTTCTCTTTCCCCACCTCCCTTGCCCAAAAACTCAACAACATTTGGCTCTCTTCGGTTTGTGTCCCGACTATTCCACTTCTCTCTCGCTCGCCTTCTACTAACGGTACTTGCATTAACTCTGGCTTCCCATTGGTCAACGAATGTAAGAAGCCATCATTTTTTTGTCTCCGTCACCCTCTCCCCTCTCGCAGACTTCGTTGACTTCACGTGCTCGTGACCAAAGACTGGCACCTTTCAGTGTGTTTCTGTGCTCCTGGTACTTCGGCTCGGCGCGCAGGCGAATATCGAACGAAAGCGAAAATCGAATCTCCGGGCAAGCCCACGCGGTATGTGACCGTTTCCAACTGTAAATGTTGCAGGACAGTTTTCCAAAAAATCAAAAAGTGTTTCTAAATTATTCATAACAGTTTTTAAACAAGAAAATACGCCAAATAGTTTTTAAAAATAAAAAATAATTCAGAATTGACGATATATTTATAGAAAAACATATAGATACACATCGTTATTCGAATACATGAATACAATCTGTTTGGTATAAAAGAATAAGACAAAAAAAATGATTTAGATCACTATGAGTAGAGAGTAAGTGCAACTAGCGATCAAAGAACGTTTCACAGTACAACAAATATTTCTTGGCTCCCACTACATAACTATAATTGCTTCTGGCTCCATGATGCTTCGTCCTGGAGAGAGTTCTCGCTCGCCTCCCTGGTGCGGCTTCTCCTTGTAGGAAGAACAAATGCTTCGAGATTGCAGACGCCACTTGGTCCGATTTCTGACTCGCTGAGTGGGTGGTGGTAGGTGGCTGGTTTGGTTTAGTTCAGTTTGGATGGAGATTGGAAGTGGAGCGCTTAAATGCCGCGGTAGGAGCGGTGGGCCAGGAAGGCGCTGATGAAGTACAGGACGGCGTTCACCAGTCCAAGGACTCCGGCCGCCATGTAGCCGTCGTGCTTGACGTCGCGCAGCCTGAGGAGCAGCACAATGGAGGAGGCCAGCAGCAGAATAGCAGCTACGCTGTGGTAGATCAGCTCCTGGAAGAGGATAAACACATAGGTGAGTACAGTTTCGTTTAACTATCGGCTAGAACGTACATAAATCGTCTTGGCAATGATGCCTCCCGTGCTCAGCGAGGTGAGACAGGCGAGGAGTAGACAGAATGTCCCTATCATAAAGGTTGTGGCCATCAGGAAGTGGAACAGGTCCTGCTGATGGTTGAAGTAGCGACGGTAGTCCTCATAGTTATACGCCAGGATTCCCACAATAGCTGCTCCAATGATCTGCGAGGGGAGAACAAATTTTGATTAAAAATCCGGTCGGATTAGCGTCAGGGCTTCTAACTTACGAGCTCGAATAGCTTGAGGATTCCGGGGAAGGTCTTGAGGTAGCCCGTGTTCAGGACAATGTAGGAGGTGTTGGTGGTGCTGGTGGTGGTGCGGGTGATAGTCACTGAGTGAGACATCTTGCTGGTTGTTCGGTGGTTTCCTTCGGAGGATTACTGCAAGTAGACGGCAAATTAAGAATCGGATACCATTCGGATACCAAGTTGTTTTGAAATGACCCACAAATTGTAATTTTGGCATTCTGGACATTGGTTTTTGGCCAGCTGTTTCAGATCGAACGCCCTTGCCACGCCCACCGATCGCCACTCACACACCTCGCCGTGAATTTGTATACAGGGATTTGTGTATTTTTGGCCATCGTTCGTCGCTGTTTGTGTTTTGGATTTTTGGTTTTTGTCTAATTTTAAAATTTGTTTCAATGCCGGCCTCGCGAGATACTCCGAGCGGTTCTGGGCAGGAAAAAAGCGCCAAAGCCGAAGCGTTATTGAAGCATCAGCATCGGAAAATCTATTTACTTGACGGCCACCCCCCATATTCCCACCACCCCACCTCCTCCCCGTTCAGCTGCTTGGCCCCACCCGCCAGTCATCAGGAATCGGCGAATATATATCTATATGTGTATGTACACTTCTGGGTAAATGTATGTAGGTTTCCAAGGAATATATACAGAATTATAACCGGTGACGTCATGACCTTTATGGTCTGCTGCCTTTTGTTGGTTGCAGAAAGCTGAGAAAAGTCCGAGGCACGGAATTGGGGCACAGTCATGGTGGGGTTAAGACAACGGACACATTCCGTGGGTGGGGCTGGGGCAGAACTTGTTGGATTTAATAGAATGGTCTGGACTAATTGAGCAGAAAGTGGGTCTGCGAGTCCCAAATAGCTTTTGTATCTTAAGAAGCGGTTGGGTGACTAATCCCAGAGAAAGATAGCCACATCCTACCCTCTCCCATCTCCTGTTGATTCATCGGCTACGCAGTAATGAAAACGATGACGCCATCGATGACAGAGAGTGACGCAATTGCTTACAGACAGACCCTGGTGGCAATGACGATCTTGGCGATGATGTGATAGTGCTCATTAAAATTCACAGAAGTGGTACGCCCAAGACCCCGGAGTGGGGGCAGGCTGTTTGGACCCGACATTCCAAAGCGGACAGAGCCGAAACTGGAACCGAATCAAAACACAAAACATAAACACAAAAGAACCATGTGCAACAGTTTCCGAAAACAAAAACGTATGTTGATTAGGCAGCGGATATTGTCTGGGGAAGACTACTGGACTGAAACCCGGCCCAGATTAGGAGTATGATATCATGCCTCAGATATCCATGCTAACTGAATTAATCAACAGGTTGTGGTACCACCAGCAGCTATATTTACATATATGTATACATATCCTGTTTCTAGAAACGTGCTCATCGAGAAAAGCTCCTCATATTTTTAATAATTTGTATATAGAAGGCTAGAGGGCCAAGTTGAACATTCTTTCAGACATAGGAAAGTGTTCAAAAATGTAAGCAATTTGAAAATGAGCAATGATCTCAATAATTTTTGCAAATTGATAGATACCAGCAATCATTGAAGCACTGGCTGATAAGAACTTTAATATTTTACTTCTCTTGGCAAACAAAACACGGCCAAAGTCAGCTCGGTACTCAGAATCGACTCGCGTTCTTTGAGTAATCAAAGTGATATCATCGCCGCGTAGGTGCTGGCAATACAAAATAATGCAGCAATGACAAACAAAACAGTAAAAGTTTAATAGCACTAGGGGGCTATCCGAAAGCGCGCCCACAAGGCCCGAAATTAAATTCTCACACTGCCAAAATATTAAACAAAACAAAAATACAAAAAAAACGTATATACATATATAAATAGGTATATATTTCAATGAAATGTATATATCTTTCTGTCGGTGGGGATCTTACTCTTACTTTTTCAAATTCGGTGTAGGATTCTGCCAACGTATCTTGGACTGGTTTTTTGAAAACTTTTGATTTCTAGCGAGGTTCTACTTATGCGTCTCGGCGCGCTCACGTTGAAAATTCAACTGAAACCGAAACTGAAAAACGCTCTGCCTGAGCTTTTCGGCTGCTGTCGTCGTTTCAGTCACTGTCGCAGTCGACGGTGGCAGAGGCAGTAGCAACGACTGACAAAAACAAGTGGTAGCAAAAGGCTTATTAACACTAGACTAGCAATGCTCTGGCCCAACAATTGGGACTCAAAATTCATATCTTTGGAGTTTTGAAGTACATGTGAACGACGCATTCCCAGGCATACCTAGACTGCTAAACAGTGTTACAGGGTATCCTTTTCTACGCAAGCTGGCGGCACATATTGTGCTGGAGTGCAGGGGGGCATTAATAGGGTGAGGCCATGACGTCATGATATCATCGGATAAGAGCCAGCCGGCTGGTCGACCACTTTAATATTTTCGCAAGGCTCAAGCTCAGTCTGGCCTCGGGTCATGTCCACGTTAACTGCTCCATTTCGATTAGGAAGATAGTAGCCATTGATTGGGGTCCGCTGAAAGTTTCCTGACTCATGCCGCTGCCTTACATGCGCTGAAAGATTCGTCGCGGCAGTAGGGGAAGGTGAGAAAGTGGGAGTGGGTCCCGCTTCATTCATAGAGCGATTCCTCCAAGGTTGCGATGCATTTTTCCGATCGACGCTGAAAACAGAACAGAGAATATAAAAATGTTTCAAAAGGCAGCAGCCAACACTTGCTTTCTCGATTTACGAGGCACTCGATGAGTAATGCGGCGCTAGTCCAAGGAAAACACGCTGACGGAGAAGCTCTCCGCGCAGTCAGTAACAGGCAGTCATCAGATGAATGGCTTTTATCAATGCTATTATTAAGGCACCTCCAACACATGGAATACTAATAAAAAAACACATAATTTTGATGCGTAATGTAAAAACAAAGCGATTAGCATTGGGATGATTAGCCTTTGCATTCCATTTTGAGCAGTTGCGGAAAAAATAACTGTAAATGGCAGCGTCTTTATTTAAGTTCTGAAAATTTAAGTTCAAAACTAGTCGCCAAAAACTGTTACAACACGGATCAGGCCATTCTAATTTATAAAAAAAAGATCAAATTGGTTATATGTATTTAATATTTTTCAAAATAAACTCAAAAAAGCGCGCCCATTTAGAGCGGGGGCAAAGAAGCGATATATATCGCAATAAATAAGCGATACTCGATCGAGAAAAAGGAACATCATATCGAATAATTTTTTACCAAACATCGATAGTGTTTATCGAGTATAACGATAGTTCTCAAACAATCTAGTGTTAAAAAAGACAGTGTTATATCGAATAAGTTCCACACCAAACAATAGTTACAAAAAAAAAATACCTTATTGCGAACCTATTTACAATATCAAAATCGGTGCCTACTTCTGAACTAATCAACAGTGTTGAAAAGGGTGCCTAGCTCGAAACCGCAGCCAGTTTATCGCGAAATTTCATGTTTATTAGTTAACTGTAGGAAGTTTATATTTTTATTTTTGTGCCAAATGGTAGTTTGTATGTTTTGCGGGGAAATGCAAATTTCCGAGGACAGCACGCGTGTCAAAGTCAAGAGCTGCGCATAAATAACAGCCGCCGAACGCCGATAATTGTCTTGGCTACGTTTCGCTACGAGGAAGCAACAATACTCAGCAAAAGAGTTGCTTTCGGGGAAACGAGAAACTCAACAGGTAATGTTTCTAGAGACGAACATTCTCCCAAAATCTTCTCACTTTTTTTTTGAGTTCGCGCGTGTGTGTGGGCAACAATTATTAAAAATGTCTGTCGCGGCAATGGAAAAAAACAAACAAAAAAAAGAACAACAACAATGCCGGCCACTGAGGAAAAAAATGCAAATTAATGAGCAAGAACAATAAAAAAAAGGCACTGGAGCGCCAAGGGAGAGAGAGGGACAGCTAACGGTCTGATTAAAAAATATTGTCCATTCCCGTAATCATCAATTTATCATCCTCCCTTTCGCTCCCCAGCTCTGCAGCGCTCTCACGTGAACTGCGCTCTCGCACCTCCCCCCTTTGGCCTGTCTGTGTATGAAGGTCATGGCTGTGTATGGGTGACCCTGCACTTGGAGCAAAAATATATTTTATTGATTTGCTTCATTTTTTTCGCCTCTTTCAGTTTCAGTTTTGGTTCAGTTTCTGCTTCGGCCTCTCTTCCTGCTTTTCTCGCCTCCAGCGCAGCACAAAAACAGCTGCTGGAGTGACTAACTAACTCTGGCAATACCCTGCCAATCGGGAGTCCATTCCATAGTCCCCGGCTCTCGCGTGACAGTTTCTAATAAAAGAACTCGGCTAAAATGGTAACCGAGGCAGAGCCCAGATTGTCAAGATAAAGCCGCTTTAGCACCATCTGTTGTTGGCCGCCCGAAACATGGCTATTATCGGTCAACCAAAAAAGGATTCAAACTGATGCATACCCATGGGTAGGAAATCTCTGCCCTGCGTTTCGGGTACGTTTCCTTGGACATCTGTAGCTCACCATGTTTCTGGCTCCACATATGGACGCACACATGTGCCTTGCACCCCGACTTGGGGTCGTTAGGTTACATGTTTGTTATTCGGTCGCTAGGTAGGAGCTTCTCCTGTTGCTCGCTCAGTTCCGGCTCCTGCTTCTGCTCCCTACTGACACCTCGTCAACGTTGACTTGGCTATATATAACGCTAGTTGAATGGACAGTTGGATGGCCCGCTTGATGGATGGGTGAGGTCATAGAGGTTGCCTGCCTAGCACTACAAAAATCATTAGCTAATATATGTATCCATTCAAGTCTATGATCTATAATTCCTAAAAGCCCCGACTATTTCTCGCAGTGCAGCGAGGTGTTGTGTTTGCTTGTTTGCCCATTGGAGCCATCGGTCAATGCAATTACTTAACCACAATTATTTATAGCGGGCATTTTTGTACAACACACCGCATACACAAGTAGCGGGTAAGCACAAGTAGCAGCATGGCGTGCCCTTCCCCACCACGGCCACCAGTAGCAGCGGAAACTTGCTGACTGCATGGATTCCGGAGCATCAGTCGGGGTCCCCAACGCGGCGTTGGATCTCCATCGGCTGCCGCGATTATCCACAAGCCTCTAATGAAATTGCCGATGTCACCGCTCGACATGATCGCGATTAGATGAGTACTTGCAATGGGACTTGATGGACAAATATTGGCAGCACGTCGGAATCATGCGCTTCTGATTCGTCCGTATCCGAAAATTAATTTGGAACATTGCTTCCATTCGGGAAACGCCAGCCACAGGAAGATAATGAAAACATGCCTGATTGTCATGTTTTGTTTATACATATCAGTGTAGAGCCGCATAAATGGCAGAACGGCCCCGCCCTTATCCTCGCCGGATCTGAGCCCTCGAAGGCCACAGATGACGTGACGTGTTCCACTTGAGCCCCCCACTTGAGTGCGGCTCCGTTAATTTTCCACCCATCGGCTGGCCTGGCTCCTTATCATACGGGTAGAACACATCGCTAAAAGAGTCCTCTCCCCCATGCAAATTCCAGCACAACGATAACAAATACTCCGGGTCTATAAATAAACAAATCGCTGTTTACTCACCATTAGTTGTGTAATTTTATGCAGATAATAAAGCTGTTACGGCGATAAGGTGGCCCCTGTAACAGACTAGAGGTAAGAAGCTGTCCTACATCGGCCTATAAACCATTGCTAATCTTCCCATTTTAAGGTCGCAACTGGCGCCTAAGGAGTCTTGCAGTCTACCAACCGAAAAGTAACAATCCCCGAAAGACGTTCCATACTAAATATCATACAAACGCAAGATAAATGGCAGATGTGTGCCAGAGAAATACGAAAACATCATATATACCTGGGATAAGATAAGGACTCGCAAACATCAGGTGCTTCTAGTCCGGAGGAAACTAGAAATCCCAAGTCGCCGATATTGAAGCCACTTGGTGCCAAAATGGAACTGATTCCATGCACATCACCAAAAATAGAGACATCAATCATCGGTTTCTGGATAAGATTAACGAGGAAAGGACTTAATCGACCCTCGTTCATAGTGGTCACCCTATGTGATGGATGTGAGGCGATTGCAGGCCTTTGGAGATTTGGAGAAGTCAAGGCAAAGATCAAGTGGGCTGTGGACGCATAAAAAGGGCCGGAAACAATATCTGCACATGTTTGTGACGCTGGCTTTTTGGATGTGACGAAAGTGGCGAAAGATAAGATATCGAATGTACATATATGTATGTGGTGAAAAGGCCAATGACCAATGCGATTTGGAGACCGTTCAGCTGACTCAAGACGTTCTGGACGGTTCTGGTTACGGTCTTATGGATGCATAAATAGTATTGCCTGTCATTGCCGGCCCATTGCCCGATGGCCACAAAGTTTGTGGCCCAACTTTGGGGTCCCGATTGGGAGTCGGAACTTATCTGGAAATGCTTTCGTTATGATCGAGTCGTTTAGTCGAGTCTCGCCCCATTATGTCTGTCGTAAATATATAGACCGAGTTCTCCGCCTATCGGTTCCATTTCGAATCGGCGATAAGCCCCAACACGTCTGCCTCTTGCACCGGTTACTGATCCGATCCGCAACTTGATATTTTCGGATTATAAAACTGCCAATTAAAATCATATTTGAGCTATTGCCCTGGATTCTTTAACTGGGCTCGTGTTAATCTGGCTTCAAGCACCAAACCGATAGAAAAATAATTTAGTTTATGGCCCTCTCGTCTGGGCTCTGTGCTTGACACTGCCGATAATAAACCCGATCGTACCACCGGGAGTTGGAAATTAGTCTCCAGTAAGAATCTGGCTATCCGAAAAACCATACCTTTTTTTTTACCAAGTGATCCAAAAACCCGGAGAAGTAATATTTAATTTAAGATTCCACTTGTGAAAATTAAAGGGGCCTTATCTTTATCGCCTTCGACACCTGCCTCCGAGTCCCACTTACGGTTATGAAACATTTTCGTTTGCTCTCTGGCTCTGTGGCTCTGTGAAATAATTACTTAATTATGTAAATGTCTTAATAGCTTCGCTGAAAGCAAAGTTTGGTGTTAAAAAAGAGACATACTGTCTGTCCCTGCGCTTGACTGGCTTAACATTTTCATGTTGATATTTTTCCGATACACGCCCTGATACCCCTTTTTATTGTAACTTTCAGTAGTTTTCCCCTCGCACTTAGACCAAGCCCTGAATGTTTGTTTTATTGACTCCCCGCCAGATCATTGTTAGTCCACTTCCCACCTTAACCGACCTTTCACGAAAGAGTTCCGCTGCCAATCAATAGGTAATTACCGAGGGCCGTTCATTCGTAACACTTTCAATTGTCATCTATTAAAAATTGAACTAAAACGAAAATCAATCGATGCAAATCGCCCGCGTCGAGGAAGAACATGGTGCCAACAAGATAACCCAACTGCCTGAATATTTAAACGCCCGGGAAAATTTTCTGGGGAGAGGGTAAACAAAGTGGGAGGATCCAGTTCGATAAAGACATTTATTCCCCCAGTGCCGACGCACTTTAATTACACAAATACCACGAGTGGAAGTGGGAGCGAAGTGCATCGCACGGGGTGGGTCTCTTTTAATTGAATACCTGGTCCTGAAGGACAAACTTGTGTCTCACTTCTTTCGGCACTTTATCCAGCTATACCTTTCACCATTTCTGACGGCCTAACAAGAGCCTAGCTAGAGTTTAACAGGAATACCCTTTTCTTTCAGGGGCACACCGGACTGGATCCGGAGATCTGAACCCGAGAGCCAGGGAAACGACCACAAGGAGTTGCAGGCGGCACTCGTTGGAGGCGCCGGCACTAAGACCTTTTCCGAGACGCGAGCGCCCAGCGGAACAGTCGCCACCACGACGTCGACATCACAGCCGCCCCCGCAAGCTGCGCCGCTGTCATCAGCCGAGCACTTGGACGCCAGCGCCGGCGATCGCGGGCGTGTCTACAAGCTTAGAAAGAAGAAATACTTGGACACGGCGCACATAACGTAGGCAAGGGTCAAGGAGATCGGAGGAATCGACGGAATTGAGTCGGAGAAGGAACTGGTGGTATATAGGGAATCAAAACTAAAAAAGGTGCTAAACATCTGGCGCGAGGAGTAGGGATTGGCCATAAAAAGCTTATAGCTACACCAAAAAAGGTTGGGATTGACGAAATACATAACCAAATATTCATTTTATTATTTTTCCAGCAGGAGGAGATCCTTGAAATCCGAAGCAAGTCCAGTAAGGAGGATAAAGATGCCTGTGCAGTCGCCTATCGAGATCAGCAACCGTGCCATCGAGCACATAGACGACGTGGACCCGTTGGAGTACCACGGCCACTGGGAGCCAGTGGGGGTGGCTCGAGTTCAGAACACAGGTACTTCTGCGATGGTCACCTTCAGCAAGCGAAAGCAACAGCCGTATATCATCGGTGGGGCCTTGGACACCAATAAGTACGTGTTCGAACAGCTGCACTTTCACTGGTCGGACTCGGACGAGTCCGGGTGCGAGCACACGCTTGAGGGCATGAAGTACTCGATGGAGGCCCACGCGGTCCACTACAACGCCAAGTACAAGGACTTTGCCGAGGCCAAGAACAAGCCAGACGGGCTGGCCGTGGTGGCCTTTTTTATCCAAGCCTGCGGCGAAAAGGACTGTCCGGAATTCAAAAAGATCACCGAAGGCATCCGGATCGTGCAGAAGATCCACACGAGTGCGTCACTGGATTCCGGTGAGTAAAATTACCGCCTAAAGGATTTTAATTCCGGGGATACTAAGAAGTTATTTTTGCATAGATTGCTTATCGTGGATTGGACTGCAGGAGCTGAGCAAACACTATTACACATACAAAGGATCTTTGACGACGGCGCCGTACTTCGAGAGCGTCACCTGGATAATTTACCGCACTCCCATCTACGTGTCGCGTGGTCAGGTAAGGGTGCGATCCAATCCGTCTAGCAATTTCTGACATCTCTTTCCCTTTTGTTTCCAGGTCAGTGTATTTCGTAATTTGCAATCGTGTCCCAAAGATGAGTCCAAAAAGATAGTCAGCAATTATCGAGAAATCCAGCGCCCCCACAAGGATCCGGAGATCTTCTTCGCGCGCAACACGAACCCAAAGTCAAAGTTATGATGTGCTTGCCATGTGGCCATTCCCCCCCTTCCGCTGCCGCTTCCCATTGCCCCAACTCCGCACCACCTCCCCCCAATTCCAATCTCCAAGATTTCTCCGCCCACGAAAAGCTATATCTCTATGCATACTACTACTGTTTATGGTTGTCCGTCAGCTGCGTTTGTTAATTGCCTCATGTACATAGCGTTATATATAACTAATATACATATATATTATAATATATATATTCATACTTATACATATAATCGGAGTAGCTACGATACGTTAACGTGTATGGATTCATTTTAGTCAGAACACGCAGTTGCCTTGCATTGAATATTTCAGAGAAATATCGGGCACAACTACTTAAGACATCTACAAGAGACATAAATTTAACACTTAAGCTTAAGTTAAATAAATGGTAAAAGTGAAAAGAATGAATACGAATGAGAGAGGAAGTCACACACATATGTACACATCTTTTCTATTTCAAAACTGATTTTTTTATGTATTATAATTGCTCGAAGCCGTAATTGTTTGTAAGAGCTGTTCCCCATTTTTGTGTAATTTTTTTTGTGATTAGTAGTAACTAATAAACAAGTAAGCTGCAACTCCTACAGTCTGGCCTAACACACTCACGACCACTATAACTCCAACCGGCAGAGTCTCTGCAATACCGCAAAAGCTGTTAAAAGGACCCCTGCATCCGATTGTTGGCATCTTAGACCGACGCATGAACGGAAAGGTTGCATAAACGTTGCTGGACTTTCGACATCAAAAAGGTCCAAAAAGTACCAGTTAAAAATTTTAACATATGGTAAGACAAATTTAAACAAGGATGAACCTCATTTTAAATGGCCCGCTTTGAAAATTCAATGCTGCAAAACGAGACAAATGTAGAGGTGGAAGATCATGTGTATTAGGTAACGCCGTTAGTAACTATCGCTAAGAACGCGCACGCGCATTTTTATCGATTCTTATTGGCCCATCCATATGCAAACTTTCTCATCTCTAAGCTCACTAACTCTTCTCTAAGCATATTTACTTTTTCGCCGCCACATTTAAGCTGTAAAAATATCATTATTGGAATTTTACAAAAGAGGCATAAAGACTTTGAAGAAAACAGAGAACAGAATACAGAGAAAATCGAGAACTTCGACGTGTGAGGCAGCGAAAAGTGTTCATCGTGATCGGTAACAAGGCGCGACCATGTGCCGTTCCAGGCCAAGGTGGCCGACTGTGTTTTGGTTCTATAAGCACGGGGATGAAGCCAAATCGATGTAAGTTTACCTGGATTATTACTGTAAAATCTAAAATTATCGTTTTAATCATTCAAATTCTTATTTAGCTCTACACTGTGAGCATGGATATCAGGCCTACTACACAAGGACGGACTTGTGGCTTCAACGAACTGCTCAATCTGTCCCTTGGCATACATTAAACGCTGCCTGATCACCGTGATATGACTAAACTCCAAGGCTATCAACGTGTAGCCAGTAAACGTAAGCTAGGTTTTTTGTGTTTTTAGTTATATCACGAAAACTTATTTTTTGCAGTCCGCGGGCGTAGATCAGTCGCCGAACGAGACAAAATTACGGAAGCTGAAAGGAAGCCTACTGAATGTTCATCCTGCAGTCTACGCTAGACAACTATTATACCAGGCCACCGCCCTCGGCCTTTCAATTGCTGCCGCTGTAGCCTTTGGTTACGTTATTTAACAAATAAGAAAAGTCTTTTGTTTCGTAATATTTAAGGAAAACTTTAAATTATGTCATATTGTAAAATCTACTTATTTAGGTCGTTGGAGACATCTCTTCCCTTTCGTTGGACGCTATTTTTTACAGAAAATGATGTATGATGTATAACTTCGATGCAGTTCGGTGGACATTCGACCATCGATTCCAAAAATGTACGGCGCTGCCAGATCGGGCTAGAAATAAAGATTATAGAGCCCATATCTCGGCCATTAGTGGTCCGATCTGGGAACGCTTGGCATTTTCGGAATCAGCGTCCCAAAGACTGTCGAATTGCATACCAATTTTGTCAAAATCAGACAAAAAATTTTTCCGCGAAAATTGGAAAAAATCGTGATGTATAGCCTTTTCATTTTTTCGAAAAATCGGTCGAAAATGAGTTGTTCGATATCGAAAATCGTGGTATGCAGTTCGATGGACATCCGAGCGCTGATTCCGAAAATGTACGGCGTTGCCAGATCGGGACAGAAATAAAGATTCTAGAGCCCATATCTCGGCCATTCGTGGTCCGATCTGGCAACGCTTGGCATTTTCGGAATCAGCGTCCCAAAGACTGTCGAATTGCATACCAATTTTGTCAAAATCAGACAAAAAATTTTTCCGCGAAAATTGGAAAAAATCGTGATGTATAGCCTTTTCATTTTTTCGAAAAATCGGTCGAAAATGAGTTGTTCGATATCGAAAATCGTGGTATGCAGTTCGGAAGACATTTGAACGCTGATTCCGAAAATGTGCAGGGTTGCCAGATCGGGCCAGAAATAAAGATTATAGAGCCCATATCTCGGCCATTCGTGGTCCGATCAGGCAACGCTTGGCATTTTCGGAATCAGCGTCCCAAAATCTATCGAATTGCATACCAATTTTGTCAAAATCAGACAAAAAATTTTTCCGCGAAAATTGGAAAAAATCGTGATGTATAGCCTTTCCATTTTTTCGAAAAATCGGTCGAAAATGAGTTGTTCGATATCGAAAATCGTGGTATGCAGTTCGATGGACATCCGAGCGCTGATTCCGAAAATGTACGGCGTTGCCAGATCGGGACAGAAATAAAGATTCTAGAGCCCATATCTCGGCCATTCGTGGTCCGATCTGGCAACGCTTGGCATTTTCGGAATCAGCGTCCCAAAATCTATCGAATTGCATACCAATTTTGTCAAAATCAGACAAAAATTTTTCCGCGAAAATTGGAAAAAATCGTGATGTATAGCCTTTCCATTTTTTCGAAAAATCGGTCGAAAATGAGTTGTTCGATATCGAAAATCGTGGTATGCAGTTCGATGGACATCCGAGCGCTGATTCCGAAAATGTACGGCGTTGCCAGATCGGGACAGAAATAAAGATTCTAGAGCCCATATCTCGGCCATTCGTGGTCCGATCTGGCAACGCTTGGCATTTTCGGAATCAGCGTCCCAAAGACTGTCGAATTGCATACCAATTTTGTCAAAATCAGACAAAAATTTTTCCGCGAAAATTGGAAAAAATCGTGATGTATAGCCTTTCCATTTTTTCGAAAAATCGGTCGAAAATGAGTTGTTCGATATCGAAAATCGTGGTATGCAGTTCGGTGGACATTCGAACGCTGATTCCAAAAATGTACGGCGTTGCCAGATCGGACCAAAATTGGGGTTTCTGCAGCCCATATCTCGGTCATTAGTGGTCCGATCTGGCAACGATTGGCATTTTCGGAATCAGCGTCCCAAAATCTATCGAATTGCATACCAATTTTGTCAAAATCAGACAAAAAATTTTTCCGCGAAAATTGGAAAAAATCGTGATGTATAGCCTTTCCATTTTTTCGAAAAATCGGTCGAAAATGAGTTGTTCGATATCGAAAATCGTGGTATGCAGTTCGATGGACATCCGAGCGCTGATTCCGAAAATGTACGGCGTTGCCAGATCGGGACAGAAATAAAGATTCTAGAGCCCATATCTCGGCCATTCGTGGTCCGATCTGGCAACGCTTGGCATTTTCGGAATCAGCGTCCCAAAATCTATCGAATTGCATACCAATTTTGTCAAAATCAGACAAAAAATTTTTCCGCGAAAATTGGAAAAAATCGTGATGTATAGCCTTTCCATTTTTTCGAAAAATCGGTCGAAAATGAGTTGTTCGATATCGAAAATCGTGGTATGCAGTTCGGTGGACATTCGAACGCTGATTCCAAAAATGTACGGCGTTGCCAGATCGGACCAAAATTGGGGTTTCTGCAGCCCATATCTCGGCCATTCGTGGTCCGATCAGGCAACGCTTGGCATTTTCGGAATCAGCGTCCCAAAGTCTATCGAACTGCATACCAATTTTGTCAAAATCAGACAAAAAATTTTTCCGCGAAAATTGGAAAAAATCGTGATGTATAGCCTTTTCATTTTTTCGAAAAATCGGTCGAAAATGAGTTGTTCGATATCGAAAATCGTGGTATGCAGTTCGGAAGACATTTGAACGCTGATTCCGAAAATGTGCAGGGTTGCCAGATCGGGCCAGAAATAAAGATTATAGAGCCCATATCTCGGCCATTCGTGGTCCGATCAGGCAACGCTTGGCATTTTCGGAATCAGCGTCCCAAAGTCTATCGAACTGCATACCAATTTTGTCAAAATCAGACAAAAAATTTTTCCGCGAAAATTGGAAAAAATCGTGATTTTCCTTTCCATTTTTTGCGAAAAATCGTTTAGGGGTGTGTGTATAAGGGAAAAGAGTATAAGAAAAAGTATTAATGAAGCATCGATGCACCGAAACCTTTTTTTATTTACATCTTCTCTAAAGATAAATGGACTGTTTTTGTAACATTTTTGAAGGATACAATTTTCTTGCGATACGAAGAGACCCTATTAAACTTAAATATATTACAAAAAACTAAGTTACACGCAATAAATATAAAAAAGTTTAAAACAATAAATTTTCTATCTATTATATCTAAATTAGGAACACCTTCAAAAGTACAAAAATACATCGAATTTTGTTTACATAAATACTTGTTATTAACAGTACAGACGTGTATAAACTTATTTTTTCAACCTCGCATGATGAGGTATTCTACATATATAATTGTTTAATATTGGAAGTCTTCAAAAGCATTTATGTCAGCCATGGAGTTAATTGTTTGGGATATGTAGTCTTATATAGGAGTTGCAAAAAAACCGGTGCATGTTCCACCTACGCATGTTGAGTAGCCTCATCCGCTTCTATATATGGGTAAAAGGGAAATTAGAGATTGTAGATTTTAAAGTAATATGCGCACTCAAAACTAACCTTGATATAGCCTAATCATCGGTCTTATAGCACCAGTTGGCCGGCTTTCGATGTTCATTTGGTGAGGGTGTCGTGAAGGATAGGCACCTGTCGCCTGCTACCCAGGATTGTCTTCAGCTGCTTCAGGATGATCTTCAGAGAAAAAGGGACTATTCCGCTTAAGGCCGGGATGTCTACCAATCCACTGGTTTGAGACTTGCTTGAAGTGATTTGCATCGTGGCTAAAACGGCGGAAAAATATTTTTAATTTAAAAATTAAAAAATGCGTAAATATGGGAAAATTCTGGAAAAACCTGAAAAATTCCCCAAATATGGTCTCGAGTTTTCCTGATTTATTTTAGAACTTTAAAGAAATACAAACTCGGAAGAGTTTTCCCGAGTTTTCCTGAATTTTCCGAAGTTTTCCGCAATTTTCCGGGACTTTTCTGAATTTTCTGGATTTTTCAGAATGACTTTCATATTTTTGCGGCTCCGATTCGAGCAATTTTGGCCCGCTGCCAGGCTCGGAGTACCAGGCGAACAGAAACGCATAGTAGGTCGATTCTATTTTTTGAAACAGTTTTTAGTGAATAACTCGGCTATTTCGCATCCAATCGTGGATTGTGATGGCTCAAAAAAAGTGAAAAAATATGGCTCATATACCTGGCTAAAAAAGTCTGGTATTGGCCAAGTTAACACGGAGTGGTTAACCAATTTTGCTGAAATATTTATTTTTAAAAGTTCGTTTGTTTATAACTCGGTCATTTTCCAACCGATTGTGAGAAAAAGTACCATTCCAGGATCAGGACCTTGATATCCTTTGAACTGTATCAAAGGATCCTCATGAAATCCGGATTCACATAAGAAATGGCGATACTGATCCTTTCCTAAAATATGATTGCCGCTCGACGTTTTGTTGTTGGATTCTGAAAATCCTTTGATGCAGATCGAAGGATGTTCAAGTTCTGATGCCAAAATTCTATTTCATTTTAAGATCGGTTGAAAAACAGCCGAGATATAAACAAACCAATTTATAGAAATATTCTTCTAAGCTAAATTTCTTTACCAATCGGTCTTAACTTGGCCAATACCAGATTTTGTTAGCCAGGTAGATGGGCCTTATTTTTCTGCATTTTTTGACATACCATAATCTGGGCTTAGATGCCAAATGGCCGAGTTATTTACAAAAAACATTTTCAAAAAGTAGAATCCACCTACTGTTCGTTTCTGTTCGCCTGGTACTTCGAGCCTGGTAGCGGCCGGAAATTTCAAAAATTGAAGCTTCGAGAATCTGTGACGTCACGGAGTGAACTTGGAACTTTTCAAAAAGCTTGGGAAGCGCGGGCGGGAACTTTTTTGAATTTAAATTTAAATTAAGCGGACCGTATTTGAATCCACGTGGCGCGGGCGGGAAACAAATTTTTTGAATTTGAATTTGAATTTAACGGTTTTCGATCAACTTGTGTGATCATATTTTAGTGTGACCGTATATTAGTATGACCATATATTTTAGTGTGACCTAATTTTAGTGTGACCATATTTTCGTAGGTGAAAAATTGAAATATGGTCACACTAAAAATACGGTCACACTAATTTTCGACCCACGAAAATTCGGACATACTAATATACGGTCACACTAAAATATGGTCACACTAATATACGGTCACACTAATTTTTGTCTATACAAGTACGGTCACACTGGACCAAGAAAATAGTGTGACCATTATTTTTCTGAAATTTCTAAATTTTTCAAAATGACTTGCACTTTTTTTTTCGCCTGTGAAAAAGTGGATTTCGGCCCCCTACCAGGCCCGGAGGTACCAGGCGAACAGAAACGCACAGTAGGTGGATTCTGTTTTTTGAAACTGTTTTTGTGAATAACTCGGCCATTTGGCATCTAAGCCCAGATTATGGTATGTCAAAAATGCAGAAAAATAAGGCCCATCTACCTGGCTAACAAAATCTGGTATTGGCCAAGTTAAGACCGATTGGTAAAGAAATTTAGCTTAGAAGAATATTTCTATAAATTGGTTTGTTTATATCTCGGCTGTTTTTCAACCGATCTTAAAATGAAATATAATTTTGGCATCAGGACTTGAACATCCTTCGATCTGCATCAAAGGATCTTCAGAATCCAACAACAAAACGTCGAGCGGCAATCATATTTTAGGAAAGGATCAGTATCGGTATTTCAGGACTTCATGAGGATCCTTTGATGCAGTTCGAAGGATATCAAGGTCCTGATCCTGGAATGGTACTATGCTTCCCGATCGGCTGAAAAATTACCGAGTTATAAGCAAACGAAGTTTTAAAAATAAATATTTAAGCCAAATTTGTTTACCACTCCGTGTTAACTTGGCCAATACCAGACTTTGTTAGCCAGATAGATGGGCCGAATTTTTCCACTTTTTTGGAACCATCACAATCCAGGATTGGATGTCAAATGGCCGAGTTATTCATAAAAAAACATTTTCAAAAAGTAGAATCCACCTATTGTTCGTTTCTGTTCGCCTGGTACTTCGAGCCTGGTAGCGGCCGGAAATTTCAAAAATTGAAGCTTCGAGAATCTGTGACGTCACGGAGTGAACTTGGAACTTTTCAAAAAGCTTGGGAAGCGCGGGCGGGAACTTTTTTGAATTTAAATTTAAATGAAGCGGACCGTATTTGAAACCACATGGCGCGGGCGGGAAACAAATTTTTTGAATTTGAATTTAACGGTTTTCAATCAACTTGTGTGATCATATTTTAGTGTGACCATATTTTAGTGTGACCGTATATTAGTATGACCATATATTTTAGTGTGACCTAATTTTAGTGTGACCATATTTTCGTAGGTGAAAAATTGAAATATGGTCACACTAAAAATACGGTCACACTAATTTTCGACCCACGAAAATTCGGACATACTAATATACGGTCACACTAAAATATGGTCACACTAATATACGGTCACACTAATTTTTGTCTATACAAGTACGGTCACACTGGACCAAGAAAATAGTGTGACCATTATTTTTCTGAAATTTCTAAATTTTTCAAAATGACTTGCACTTTTTTTTCGCCTGTGAAAAAGTGGATTTCGGCCCCCTACCAGGCCCGGAGTACCAGGCGAACAGAAACGCACAGTAGGTGGATTCTGTTTTTTGAAACTGTTTTTTGTGAATAACTCGGCCATTTGGCATCTAAGCCCAGATTATGGTATGTCAAAAAATGCAGAAAAATAAGGCCCATCTACCTGGCTAACAAAATCTGGTATTGGCCAAGTTAAGACCGATTGGTAAAGAAATTTAGCTTAGAAGAATATTTCTATAAATTGGTTTGTTTATATCTCGGCTGTTTTTCAACCGATCTTAAAATGAAATATAATTTTGGCATCAGGACTTGAACATCCTTCGATCTGCATCAAAGGATCTTCAGAATCCAACAACAAAACGTCGAGCGGCAATCATATTTTAGGAAAGGATCAGTATCGGTATTTCAGGACTTCATGAGGATCCTTTGATGCAGTTCGAAGGATATCAAGGTCCTGATCCTGGAATGGTACTATGCTTCCCGATCGGCTGAAAAATTACCGAGTTATAAGCAAACGAAGTTTTAAAAATAAATATTTAAGCCAAATTTGTTTACCACTCCGTGTTAACTTGGCCAATACCAGACTTTGTTAGCCAGATAGATGGGCCGAATTTTTCCACTTTTTTGGAACCATCACAATCCAGGATTGGATGTCAAATGGCCGAGTTATTCATAAAAAACATTTTCAAAAAGTAGAATCCACCTACTGTTCGTTTCTGTTCGCCTGGTACTTCGAGCCTGGTAGCGGCCGGAAATTTCAAAAATTGAAGCTTCGAGAATCTGTGACGTCACGGAGTGAACTTGGAACTTTTCAAAAAGCTTGGGAAGCGCGGGCGGGAACTTTTTTGAATTTAAATTTAAATTAAGCGGACCGTATTTGAATCCACATGGCGCGGGCGGGAAACAAATTTTTGAATTTGAATTTGAATTTAACGGTTTTCGATCAACTTGTGTGATCATATTTTAGTGTGACCGTATATTAGTATGACCATATATTTTAGTGTGACCTAATTTTAGTGTGACCATATTTTCTTAGGTGAAAAATTGAAATATGGTCACGCTAAAAATACGGTCACACTAATTTTCGACCCACGAAAATTCGGACATACTAATATACGGTCACACTAAAATATGGTCACACTAATATACGGTCACACTAATTTTTGTCTATACAAGTACGGTCACACTGGACCAAGAAAATAGTGTGACCATTATTTTTCTGAAATTTCTAAATTTTTCAAAATGACTTGCACTTTTTTTTTCGCCTGTGAAAAAGTGGATTTCGGCCCCCTACCAGGCCCGGAGTACCAGGCGAACAGAAACGCACAGTAGGTGGATTCTGTTTTTTGAAACTGTTTTTTGTGAATAACTCGGCCATTTGGCATCTAAGCCCAGATTATGGTATGTCAAAAAATGCAGAAAAATAAGGCCCATCTACCTGGCTAACAAAATCTGGTATTGGCCAAGTTAAGACCGATTGGTAAAGAAATTTAGCTTAGAAGAATATTTCTATAAATTGGTTTGTTTATATCTCGGCTGTTTTTCAACCGATCTTAAAATGAAATATAATTTTGGCATCAGGACTTGAACATCCTTCGATCTGCATCAAAGGATCTTCAGAATCCAACAACAAAACGTCGAGCGGCAATCATATTTTAGGAAAGGATCAGTATCGGTATTTCAGGACTTCATGAGGATCCTTTGATGCAGTTCGGAGGATATCAAGGTCCTGATCCTGGAATGGTACTATGCTTCCCGATCGGCTGAAAAATTACCGAGTTATAAGCAAACGAAGTTTTAAAAATAAATATTTAAGCCAAATTTGTTTACCACTCCGTGTTAACTTGGCCAATACCAGACTTTGTTAGCCAGATAGATGGGCCGAATTTTTCCACTTTTTTGGAACCATCACAATCCAGGATTGGATGTCAAATGGCCGAGTTATTCATAAAAAACATTTTCAAAAAGTAGAATCCACCTACTGTTCGTTTCTGTTCGCCTGGTACTTCGAGCCTGGTAGCGGCCGGAAATTTCAAAAATTGAAGCTTCGAGAATCTGTGACGTCACGGAGTGAACTTGGATCCACTGGGTGGTGTCTTGGCTGAACAGGTTTGTGTCTATGGTGGCCTTACTATGCGAATCCACCTTACTATGCGTTTCTGTGCGCCTG